CTGCCGCGAGCGTCGCAGCACAGGTGACGTTGGGCTCCAGATTCACATCCCGCATCTCCCTGAGCAGCCACAGAGCCTGCTGCCACTGCCCGCCTTCCTTGCACGCGCTGACCCCGGCGGAGCAGCTGACTAACGGTGGTGCGGGGCAACGTCGGGCATGCGCGGGCAGCCTGGCGCTAATATTGAATCTGCTTGCGCCAGATCAGAGCAAGACTGTCTCACCTGCAGGGGTACCTGGTTGGCCAACGAAATATGCCTAGGCACTGTTTTCTGCCCGTCTATTCCTTGGTTTGGGGCTTGTCCAGCAGCGCTTGAGAATCAGAGGTTTTCGTCTGGGAGCCATAGATGAAGAGGAATAGGAGGACGAGAAACGACGGCGGAAGGAGGACGTCGATGAGAACGCTTTGATGGCCGCTGGTCATTGCGGTGGTGCCGAGGAACACGACAGCGGCGATGGCTGCGATTCTGAATGGAGCTGCAGGCAGCTGCAAAGAAGAGCATGCTCATCTGTTCAGCTGCCGGCATCCCCATTCAAACAGGTTTCCACCAAGTTTCAGCTGCGCTTGTCAGCTGCCCGCGTCCCTCTTCAGCCGCCTGCATGTTTCAGCTATGCTTATCAACTGACACTCTCGGCACACGTTGAGACATGCTCGAGCATGTCGCAGCGTGTGCCCAGACAGTCAGCTGGACAGCGCAGCCTTCACCAGGACAGTCGCTTGGGAGCGGCCCGTGCGGAACAACTCGGAGCCTCCCAACCCAGGCAGGAAGAGAAGGGTCGGGGTCGGGAGGCGAGCCGAAAAAACCCTACGGCGCCGCTTGCGTGGCGGTGAAGCTGGAGAGCGCCCGGGAGGCTCCTGGCGCGTCGCGAAGCCCTGGCGGTTGTTTAGAAGAAGAAGAAGAAGAAAAACAAATCCCACATAAACCTAAACTGTTGGCGCTCCGTGCGGATTTCTTGGATCCGCGCCGGACCACCCTCCCTGGCGCGCGGAGCGCGCCAGTGGCGGCGCCGGAGACGTCGCCAGCGGATCCAAGAAATCCGCGCGGAGCGCCAAAAAATTATGTTTATGTGCTTTTTCTTCTTCGATTGTTACCTTCTGAGCGGGAGGGGGGGGGCGCTGCGCAGCATGGCGGGCCCTCCCGGTCCGGGGGGGCATGTCCCCCTACAGCGGGGTTTTGGGCGACAAAATCAAAAGTAGTCAAAAAATACGGCAAAGTGGTCAAAATAAGTAGTCAAAATAACTACTTTGGAAGGTTCCTCCTGTAGAGGGACAGGCCCGACTTGGCGGGCGTTTTTCGGGCCCTCCCCGTGGATCGCCCCCCCCCCCCCCCCCCCACCCCCCCCCGCCCCCCCCCCCCCCCCCCCCCCCCCCCCCCCCCCCCCCCCCCCCCCCCCCCCCCCCACCCCCCCCCCACCACCCCCCCCCCCCCCCCCCCCCCCCCCCCCCCCCCCCCCCCCCCCCCCCCCCCCCCCCCCCCCACTGCTCGACGCCCGACTGACGCCGGCCCCGAGGAAGAGGTCGGGCCTCCGGGGGGACGCCGCGCGGCACGGTCGGGCCACCGCGCGGCCTGCAGGAGGCGCTCCTGGCCCAGGGAGCGCCCCCAGCTCCTCGCGCCCCGGGGCCGGGCGGACGGGCCCCAAAGCCCGAACAGCGCCCGGTCGGGTCGGAGGGCCCAGGGGGCCTCTCTGGGGCCGCCCCGAAGAGCAACGTCCCAGGAGGCCTCGGCACCTGCCGCGAGGCCCGGGCGGAGGAGCCTCCGGAGCCTGCAGCCAGACGAGCACCCAACGGGCACCCTCTTTCTCCTCCTCCTCCTCCGTCCTCCGTCCTCCTCCTCCTCCTCCTCCTCCTCCTCCTCCTCCTCCTCCTCCTCCTCCTCCTCCTCCTCCTCCTCCTCCTCTTACGTCGGGCATGTCCACCCCTACAGGCGGATTTTGGACGACAAGTCAAGAATACACAAAACTACCCAGAAATAGTTAACACATACTCGAACAATCGTCCCCATACTATTTTTGGTTCCCATTGTTGAATGTGTTCCTCCTGTGGAGGGACACGCCCGGCTTAACGCTACTCCCCGGACCTCTCCCGGGGAGCGTTCTTGCCCTGATTTCGAGGCGAAAGCAGTGGCGACGAGGGCCTCCCGGGAGGTCCAAGCAGGCGAAAACGAGGGAAGGGTAGCGGTATCGGCACCTGTTTCTTCTCTGAACCCCCTCGTGGGCGGAAGACAGATCCGCCTCCACGGACTCGCGGGCCAAGCCGTGGGCAGCGGCCCATGTCCGGTGGCAACTCGTGGGAGCCTTCCATAGCATCTTGTCGGCTCTTGCGCATTGACGCTAGTCGACGCCAAATCGACGCTAATCGACGTTCAATCGACGCTAATCGACGCAACCCACGCTAAATCGGCGCGATCTCATCGACTCCAAGATGCTGATCGACGCTAGTCGACGCTAAAGACGGAGTTCCAAGTTCCCATCATTTCGATATGAATACGTTCGTTGCTCGTGAGTCCGGCTGCGGAAACTCAGGATCAATCAGCATCGAATCGGTATGTCGGAAAATCGGGTCGGATCGGAAATTGTACCTGGCAGCATCTGCGCGGAGTCGGACTCGGATTGGATCGGCTGCGCAAAGGTGTCGGACTCGAATCGGATCGGCTGCACAAAGGTGCACAACAACGCCATGCAAACGTCGGGCAGCGTCGGAATGTCAGGGCATCGGAATCGAATCGGATCAGGCCAGTCGAGACCGATATCGAATCGGATCGGTCGGATCGACATGTAACCATGATGGGCCGATTTTCCACCACCACCACCAACATAGGTAGGAGAGGGAGGAGGAGGAGGAGGAGGAGGAGGAGGAGGAGGAGGAGGAGGAGGAGGACCTCCCCATCCTCCCTTCTCCCCCGTCCTGCCCATGGCCGTGGCGGTGGAACGCTGGCCCATGAAGCCAGGGGGCGGGGGCCCAGAGGCCGTCTGCGGAAGCCTGGGCCCAGAAAGGACGGGGCGGAGCAGCAGGAGAGTGAGAGGACGGGGGCGGGGGTGGGCGCGGGAGGGGAGGAGCGCGCGGGGCACAGTCCTCGTGCTGCCAGGAGGAGCGCAGCACCAGGGAGCAGAAGAGCGCTTCTGGCCACGGCGAGCCTCGGCCACTGGCCACGACCAGGTTCCCGGACCTTAAGCCGAAGAAAAAGCGGCGGCCCGATCACCAGAGCACCTCCCGAGCCCCAAGTGGTCCTTGTGACGGCGCCCTGGCTGTAGGCTTACATGAGTTATCGTTTAACCGACCCCCGTCCCCAGCGGCGTGGCCTGGGCCCCACTGGCCGATCTACCCCCCCTAGCTGGGGATACGGGTCGTTCCCTTCGGGCTTCGAGGGGTGTATCCCCAACTTGGGTGGTAATTTGGTGGGGGTCGTGAAGGGGATGGGGATGGGGATGGGGACTGGGTAAACGATTCTGATTACATCTGCCTTCAGCCGCGCCTCCCGCATCTCCCCGAGCAGCGCCAGCGCCTGCTCCCACTGCCCACCCTTCTCGCAGGCGCTCGCTCCCGCGGAGAAGGCGGCGACGTCCGGCTGCAGCCTCGCGAGCCGCAGCTCGCGCAGCACCGACAGCGCCTGCTGCCACTCCGAGGCCGCCGCGCACGCGCGGATCGCAGCGCCGTAGCAGACGACGGCCGTCCCTGCTGTGGCCCCTCGCCCCTCGCGCAGAAGCAGCAGCGCCCACTGCCACTGACCCTCCTTCACGCAGGCGACGACTCCTGCGCTGTAGCTGATCAGGTCTGGCCTCAGACTCGACTGCCACATGCGGCCCAGCAGCGACAAGGCCTGCTGCCACTCCCCATCATTGGCTAACGCGCTGATTCCAGCATTATAGCTGATCGCATTCGGCCGCAAATGTTGTTCCAACATTTCCCCGATTAAGGCCAGCGCTCGCTGCCACCGCCCGCCATTTCCACACGCGCTTACTGCAGCGTTGTAGCTGATTCGAGCTGGCCAGTGGCTTGTCGTCCCCGGACAATTTCGAGTGCAATGCTTCGGAATGCTGCTTTGAAGCCGTCGCCGATGACGACATCCACGGGCCTGCTCTCAATTACGCGCAGATCACGGCTCGTCACAAGAACGCACACAATCAAAGTGACACCTTTCATGCACAAAGGCCGCGCGCCTCCTGGGGCCAAATAAACGGATTCACAAGACGGTGGGCGTAGAAATCACGCTCTGCGGCCATTGGCCCTGTTCTTTCGTACGTGGTATACGCTGTTGCATGCGCAGGGCGCTTAGGATACCGCCACACTTCCCGCGCCCATGCATCCGATGCGCTTCGGCCTCCTACGCGCTGGCTATCCCAGCGGCCGAGCGGAGCCTGCGCAGACCCAGCGGCAGCAGAGCCGAGGGCCGGGAGAGCCCGCCGAACCGGAGCCACGGGCGGTCAAGGTCACCAAAAAGGGCGGCCGATCCGCAGCCGGCTGGGGCTCTCTGAGACAGTCCCATACCCTGCCTGGGCCCCTGGAGCCCCTCCTGGAGGCAAGCGCGCCTGAGTGGAGCGAGCGTGCCGCTGGCACTCTCGCGAGCACGCACCCTCGAAATTTTCGAAGAGGAGGAGGACGACGAATGGGGAGGAGGAGGAGGAGGAGGAGGAGGAGGAGGAGGAGGAGGAGGAGGAGGAGGAGGAAGAGGAGGAGGAGAAAGGGGGAGGAGGAGGAGGAGGAGGAGGACAAGGATAAGGACATCCGCATGAGGGGGTAACGTCAAAGCACCTACTCGGACGATCTACGCGCTATTGTCAAAATCTCCTGCGCTTGGTTGTGCGACGGCCCTGTTTCCTCACTGGGGCCGGCGGGGGTCATACCCCGAAGTTCGAGGACCGAGCTCCGATGTGGCCCCGTAAGAGAGGCTCGCAACTTTACATCGCGAGTCCCATCGGGTCAGTGCGGGGTGAGCAACTGCTGGCCCTTCCGCGTGCCCTTGGGGAGGGGGGCGCGCGGGCTTAGCAAGGCGCCCAAGCCAAGGGGGTGGAAGAGACGACGACACGCCCTCAAAAGGAGGAGAAAGGGGAGAGACGGAAGGCCCGAGACCCCAAACTGTTGCTGGGGGGGGCTCCTGCTACTTCTACATTATGAATTCCGTGCTCTCCTCTTCTACTTAGTTCACTCCTCGGTCGTTCGGAGAGATGCTCCATGTGATGTCTCTGTGCTTTCTCCTGTGAGGAAGCCCATTTCTCCCTCGGGGTGTGCGAGGTAGAGCATATTGGAAGTCACGGCCGTAGGTAGGGCTAACGAGGAGCACCCAGGTAAGCATCATGATGATCACTGGTTTCTCCTCCCACCCTGCAGATGTGCATCTGACGGTGCTCCAAAAAATACTTCCCATTGCGATGACAGTGCAGGCGTACTGTTGTGCCGACGCAGTCTGCCATGAGTAGCACTCCGAGAAACCTGTCGAATGCTTCCCTCGGCTGCCTGTCGGCACGGCCAGCTCACAACTTGCCTAGATCAGCACTCCGAGACACCTCGCGAATGCTCTCTCTTGGCAAGCTGCAGACTTCAGTGGGTGCACTCACTAGCGGCCGCTTCAACTGGCCGTCGCTGTCTCCTCCGACTTGGGGTAGCCGAACTTCTGCGCGAAGATCCCGGTACCATCCAGCATGGTCTGGGTGCTGTCCTTGAGCTTCCGGCGCTCCTTCAGCCTCTTCACTTCTTCTGGGTCCAAGTTGTCCTCGTTCTTAAGCTCACTCATGGCGACTTTCTTTACTTCGTGGAGGTTCCCCTCGTCGTTCCTCGCGATCGTCAGCGCTAGCTCGCACCAGCTCTGCCATGCAAAGGCCTTCTTCCCCTGCCTCCCCCATGGGTCCACTGGGTGCCTCGCGACGGGGTCACGGCCTTCGGAATCGCGCGTCATCGGGAAAAAGCATTGGGAGCACCTCTCGGCTCACCTTCTTGGCCGCGTCGAGGAACTCGCTGTGGCGCTCCGTTGTGGCGCCGTCGAGTTGCCGCGTCAACCTTTCCTTAACGAACGCTTGCCATCTGTCTCCCACTTTGAGCTCCACCACCATCGATGGCCCGCTCTTGAACGGGAAGAACTTGCTCTCGGACCCGATTGTTGACTTTTGCTCGTAGCCAGGTCCAAACGCGTCTTTCAGTTTGTCCACCCATTCCGCCATGAGCACGTCCTTTGGGTGATTCTCCTGCGTCTTCACTAGCTGCGTCCAGTCCACCTAGCATCAGGACTGCCTCTTCTCGCTTCTCGAGCTGGGACTGGGGCCTTTCCACCAGAGCTTGTTCGGGATGAGAGCGGACAAACGGCGTCTCCAACTGCGGCGAATGCCCGCAATGCTCACCAAGGGCACGCAACAACTGCTTCCATAGATCATTGTTCGGCCTTCTGGGATGTTCGCACCTTTCTGGACCGCTCATGAGTCCTTCAACCGTTCCCAGGCAGTCAGCGCGAATGTCACTTGGCAATGCCCCATGTCGCAGGACTTGTTTAACTGCATCTAGTTCAGCATGTGAACCGTATTGCTGGTGCTCTGGCACTGGGCCGCGTGCAACCCCACGCAAAGCTTGACCCGTCATCATGGCGATCCCCCACCCTGCTCGATTAGCCTCTGGCCAGCCCATGGGAGAGAGGCCCGAGCCATCCGCGCAGACGCCCCCCGCCAGCATGGCCTCATCCCCACCGTGAGCGAAGCGCCACATCACTCGCGCAGGGAGGCGGGATCCTGGACTGGGCGGCCCGCGGGATCAAGGCGCGAGTGAAGAGCAGGTCGGTGCGATGTGCTTGGCGCGCGGCTTGAATGAGATCAGCGACCACAGCAGCCTCTCGCCCTTGCCGGAGTAGCAGGCAGCACCGCGACCGATGATGAAGGGTACCAGGACAATCTTGACAATACTGGCATTGGTCATCTTGGGCATGCCCATATTGCTGCATCCTGGCCCGAGACCATTGCCCCCCGATGTTGGCGAGTCGTTAAGCAGCGCGCTTGCTCGCCATGATTCCACTTCTGGGCGAGCTCCTCGGGGGGGGGGGCATCGACGACCTCAGCGGGGCCGTGCAGTGTCCGCGCGGGCGGCGACCAGCTGGTGATCCCGCAGGTGCGCGATCCTCTTGGCGGCTCCATTCCTCGAGTTTCAGATTCGCAAATCGCGCCTTGCCAACGTCCTGGTCCAGTCCGGGCTGGCGGCGAGGAGGTCCAAGGCAGAGGCCGACGCAGGGCGCGAGTTGAGCTGGCGAGGAGCAACCTTTACCGCGCCAGCGGGGCCAGCAATATCTGCGCGCTTGACGCCCAGCCCAAGCATCCCGCATCGAGGACATCGCGCGGGACCTTGTCGTCCTGAACCACAGCGCCCACGCACGCGGTGCCCTGCGATGGCCATCAGCTCTGGGCGCCCGCGGAATCTCGGCTCGAGCTGGGCGGCCCATCATGTAGATGTTCCAGGAGGGGTGCGACGCCATCCTACCCGAGCCATGTTGACATGTTTTTTTGAGCGGCGTCCTGGTGGCTCCGACGATCTGGATTCCGCGCTGCATGGCAGGCATGGCTGAGCAACTGCCCCCCCGATCTTGGCGAGCCCAAGGAGACGCTTGAACCTGAGCGTGCGCTTTCTCATCCTGACGACGCGCCCCCTGATGGCTGAGAAACTCAATGCGTTCCCTTCGCGAGTTTTCATGCCGAGCGCCCCCGGCGCCTTGAATGGGGCGAAAAACACGCTGAGATACTTGCTGCGCGACCTGCTGAGCGATGGCGAAATCGGATGCGAGCACCTTTGCTTTGCCCGGGCAATCGGCGGATCTGGGGACTTAAGGGCGGCGGCGAGGAGCCGGGCGATACGGACGGCGTGTTTCACGATCTCCTGCAGCGCGGCCAATGCCTGGGTTGCGATGTCATCCGCGTAGATGTCCAAGGAGCGGTGGGCGCCGTCGTTGTGCTCAAACGACTTCTCAAACATGTCAAAGGGGGGCATCATGACCAGCTGCAGCAGAAACATGGCGATCGCACGTCCTGGCAACACTCCACGGCAGACCTGGCACGAAGACGAAAAGGAAGTCGTCCACTTGATACGCCGCGGAGCGTAGTGCGTAGCCAAAGAAAGCTGCAACGTCACGGGGCGGGGAAGCCGAAGTGGGCAGATGCGCGATGGACCCGCCGCCAAACCCAATCGAAACACTTACTGTTGTCGACCAAGGTAGCAGTAGCAGCCTTCTCTCGATCATGAGCAAGAGCTTCAGCGTGTATCATTGTGCGAGCCCCCACGTCCAACGTGCATTTGTGAGCTCCCGAAGCAAAAAAAGGGCGGTTGTGCTGAAGGAGCCGTTCGCGAACTTGGGTCAACCTGACCTTGGCGCACAGCCTGTGGGGTGATGGCAGTAGAGCCACTGGCCGGGGCCCACCTTGAGGCTCCGCAGCGAGCATGATGCGCGCGCACAGGATTGCCGTCGGCCATCTCATCCACGATGCAGCAGCCCATGTGGTTTTGATCAGCATAGCCAGAGCCGCATCCGAGACCAGTGATAGCGCACGAGGGGGCATTGCACCAGCCCCAGGCCCAGTTCGCCACCTGAACTTAGACGCTGCACGACGCACTTGGGCAAGCGCGGGAACTGGGAGCGCCGTCGGCGGGAATTGGCGCAGCACGTCCGCGAGACCCGATTCGTCCGCGTCTGCCAGAGGACGCGGTGGAGCACCAGCTGCCCATCTGGTCGTCCGCGATCGCCCCGGGGCGAAAGGTAGCTGCAGCGCCGCTCTTGACCTGGGCGCGGGCCCTCGGCTGGATTCTGGTGATGGAGTAGACGAGCGCTGGCCCAGCGACCATGGCGTCGCGAGCCCAAGCCTCAAATTGCTTGACGCGATTGCGGCCTGCCTGGCACTCCTGCGCGGCCACGCAGGCAGGGGGGGGGAGGGGGGCGTCGGCAAACGCCTGCATGCGCGAGAGACGCTGAAAAAGGTGCTGCATGCAGGCGGGGTGGAAGACATCCCGTGCGCCGCAAATGCGCGCAGTGCCCGCGTCTGCGCGAGCGTCTCGGCGGCGCCCAGGGCGAAGCAGCCCGGCAAGATGGGCCCATCTCGCCCTCTGTCGCGCTGCTGAGCTCGACGATGCCGAAGCCGAAGACGATGCGCCGTGGCCCTGCCCGCCAGGGCCCCCCGACTCCCCCTCTTCCCCCGCGACGCGGCGCCTTGGGGGCGCCCCGGCTGCCCAGCCGCGACGCCGCGGGGAGGCGAGGGTGGCCAGCGGGGGCCGCGGACGCGCGGGCGAGCTGCCGCAGCGAGGGCGCGCCGCAGTCGCCCAGGAAATCCGCGACCAGGCCCGGGAAAGTCTGAACGACAGCTCGAAGATAACGTGGCTCACTTCCTCCGACGGGGTGAGGTCCTGCCTTGGGGCCTCCAATTGGCCTCCAAGCGTAGGTGGCTCCGTCTGCGCGACCACGGCAGGCGTGGGGCTCGGCAACCTGGTAGATGCCAATCAACTCGTTCTCCAGGCGCGTGACGAATTGACCATAGAGAGCGGCCTGCAACTTCATCGCTTGTAGAGGGTGGCCAGTGATGAGCATCCGCATCGACGATGTCCAAATAGGGCGGCGTGTCGATTGGCCCTTTGAAGGGTTTGCACCCTCCAGTGGCTGGCGACTCTTTGGGGGAAACCCCTGGGGGCCACGATGCTGAGGATCTGCATGGCCTTGGCACGGGCCTGTATGCAGGTGATGAGAAGCGCGTGAGGTCGCGCTGGCCATGACGTAACCGCCGCGAGCGATCTGCTAACGGTGTCCAGGCCAGGCGACGTGAGGGAGAAGTCGTAGTTGTTGTAGGCGCCTTTCGCCGTGCGACAAGTGCCCTCCTCCTTGGTGCAGAGCAGAGCGGCAGGTAGAAGTTCAGGTAGGCCAAACACCTTGTAGTCCTGCGGAGAGACGTTCCCGCCACCTGCAATGCTGAAAGGCTTGTTCACGTACAGTAGAAACCTGGAAAGCGCGAGGTCGCGCCCGTAGCTGGCTGAGAGCTAGGCAGTTGTAGCCGTGCGCTCCATACAAGCGGATCCCACCAACAGCCCACCAGAAAGTCCCACATCAACGTGTATGGCCACTGCCCATGCTGGTGTCACCCCATGTGTACTCTTGCCATCGGGTCCGTTGACGACGGTGGCAGGGATGTGCGGGCGCACGAATATTCCAACTCCTGCACTGGGTGATCCAGCCGGTAACCTGCGACATGATGTGTTGAAAGTTTGCCGTCCATTTCGCCGAGCCCAGGCCTGAGCCTGTGAGGGACGCTCGGCATCGAATCTCAACTCCTGCGCGCACACGAGATTGACCTCATTCGTACCTTATGTCAAAAAGGTTCTACATGTACCCCAACAAGAACCGATGAAGGTGGCGATCGCAATATCTTTGCGCTTGGAGCCTCGGAGAGTTTCAATCCTGGTCTTCCACGCCCGCGTCCCAGTAGATACGCCGAAGAGCCAGCCATGCCCGCTTGGACTTTGACGCCTCTGCCTGCTGAGGGGGAGGGGCGTCAGGCTGAGGAGCGGCAGCAGCAAGAGCACCATCACGGTCGCCACGCCACGGCGGGTCCTTGCCCCTTGATGCTGGTGGCGGCGCGGTACTGAGCTCGGGGCACGCTCGGGGGCAGCGGTGGCCTTGCCGTCCCTGTCGCGCCCGCGCGCCCAGCACGTGCCTCCCAACACGAAATCCGCACTGACGAATCGCCTTGCACGGCCAGGCCTCGGCCGCTGGCAGAGGCGTCGCACCGCCGCGGTGCGAGGCCGGGAGCCGCCTGGCCGCGGCGAGCCGGCGACGGGGAGCGTCTCCCCGCACGGCCGCGCTCGGCAGGATCGCCCGCGCCCGCCGTCGGCCAGCAGGCTGGGGCCAGATGGATGCGCCCGCCGCGCGCCCCCGCGCGCGTGGAAGCCCACAGGGCAGCCCGAGGAGGAGGAGGAAGAGGAGGAGGAGGAGGAGGAGGAGGAGGAGGAGGAGGAAAAGAAGAAGGAGGAGGAGGCGGAAGAGGAGGCGGAAGAGGAGGCGGAAGAGGAGGCGGAAGAGGAGGAGGAGGAGGAGGAGGAGGAGGAGGAGGAGGAGGAGGAGGAGGAAGGCCTGCACCCTCGAAATTTTCGAGGGTGCGGGGGCGCAATACGCTGATATACGCTGGGGCACCGAGGCTCAAGCCAGTCGCAAAGTCAACGGAGCTGATCGCACAATCAAAGAAGCCAGTCACACAATCAACGGAGCCGAACCGCATGCCACTACCCAGGGGGCATGGCTGCATCTCTGCTTGGCTGGTGCACGAGGTGCTGACAAATTTGCAGGGGATGGGGGGGATCTCAGCCGTGGTCTCCTCACTCGAAGGTCGCACCGAGGCAGAGGCCACGTCGAGCAGAAGGCGCGCACGCCTGGGACGCCCACGCCGTCGCTGCGCCCCTGCCTGGCCCGGCGAGCACACCCGGGTGCCTGGAGCGGTCGGCGGAATACAGCCGGCCCGTATCAGAAGGATGCGCGGTAAGGGATGCAAGGGCCTGGGACGCCCACTTCGAAGCTCTTCGAACGGGGCGCGGCCAACGAACGCGGCTAAGGATGGGCCGAGGAGGCAAGGATGCGAGGGTACCCTTGGGGAGGCTGCCCTTCCTTACTGTGCGGGTTGACTGTATCCCGCTCGCCGGACGGTCCGACGGTGTGGGAAGTTCACGCCATTCTGACTTCGGCGTGGGCTGCTACCACCGCGGGGATCGCTCCGCGCCTGGAACGGCCTCGGCCGTTTCCGCAGCGTCAGATCGTTCAACGATGGGCCGATTCTGGGCCACGGGCGGCGCTCGACCTCGAATCGCCGCTGCGCCAGCACGGCACGAACCTGGCCTAAGTGGGAGGGGAGGTGAGCGCTTTTTACTCGGCGTTTCGACACTGGGCGGAAAGGGGGGGGGAGGGGGGGGGGTCTGGCTCCAGACCTCTGCAGAGTGCGACTGGTTGCAAGAGTGCTGCCTCTGGGGGAGACTCCACCAGCTCGAAACAGGCGCCAAAAAGCAGTCAAGATCCACTCCATAGGGGGGGGAGGGGGGGGGAGGGGCCCGCACCGATCGGCAAATCAATGAATAAAAACACGCTCACGAGGCGATTGCAGAAGTTGGATATAACGTTTGGCTCTACATCTGCGACCCTCGCCCGCCTCAGCAGCGACAGGGCTCGCTGCCACTCTCCGCCCTTCTCGCACGCACTGATCCCAGCGTTGTAGCTGATGGTGTCTGGTTCTAGGCTGGCTTCCCAGATCTCGCTCAGAAGCAGTAGCGCCTGCTGCCATTGGCCGCACCCCTGGCACGCGCTGATCGCAGCATTGTAGCTGATGACGTCGGGCCTCTGGCTGGATTCCCGCAAATCGGCCAACAACGACAATGCTCGCCGCCATTCCGCGCCCTTCTCGCAAGCGCTAATTGCAGCGTTGTAGCTGACTTGGGCGAACCCGTAGGTTCATACCAAATTAGGAGAACCCCACCAGCCCAGGGGGCAGAGGTAGTTTGGGGCGCTTCCTCTTCCAACCCCCCTTCTTCTCTGCCCATGCTGAGACGTGGGCGGGTGGGAGTGCACAAAACGGCGCCGACCTTCGGGAGGATCAACTCTTGATCATTGCTCCTTATTGATGTACACCCCCTCCCCCACCCGACCGGCGACAAGCCTGGGAACATGCCAGCATCCCCCCCACCGTCCCTGGCAACAGAAAATGCAAAGTGCACTGTGCACTTAAGTCTGGATCATGCGCGGACGCCCCGCGATCATTTTGGGCTCGTTTTTGACAAGGACGGCAGGGGGGCTGGCATATTGCATACTGTTTGCAAGACCCCCTCCCCCACATTATCCCTTGCGAAAAACAATATGGTGCGCACTTTGCACCAAAGTCTTGAGCGTTCGCGGGCGCCCCGCGATGACTTTGCATTCGTTTTTGGCAGGGACGCCAGTGGGGGGCTGCAAATTGCCTGCTGCGTGCAACGCCTGCCCCCCCAAGCCATCCCTTCCAAAAGGCAATACAAAGTGCTCTTTGCACCAAAGTGTGGATATTGCGATGACGCCCTGCGATCACTTTGCATTGGTGTTTGGCAGGGACGCCCGGGGGGGCTGGATATTGCCTCCGGCGTGCGTTGCCAGCAGCCCCAAATCACCCCTTCCAAAAGGCAATACAACATGCACTTTGCACCAACGCCTGGATCATCCGCAGACGCCCCGCGATCACTTTGCAGTCGTTTTTGGCAAGGATGCCCGAGGAGGCTGCTGCGCGCAACGCCAGCACCCCCAACAATCCCTTGCAAAAAGCAGTACAGCTTGCACTTTGCACCAAAAACTGGATCATGCGCAAACGCCTCGCGGTAATTTTGCAAAAGGGACGGCGGGGGGCCAACATATTGCCTGCTGCGCGCAGGAGAAACATCCGCTTCGACCAGAAATGCAAAATTCACTTTCCCTGGGAAGGTCGGTGCGGCGGCACACTGCTTGCTGTGCGAAGGCCGACCATCCCTATTGAGAACAAGTGCAAAGTATTTGCGGGTGCGCACCCACACAAACAATACAACATGCTCGCTTACCCGCCTTCACTTTGCACTGGTTTTTGACCGGGGTGATGAGGCGGTCAACCGATTACCCAATGTAATACTCCGGTTGCGCGTGGCGCACCTGGCACGTGCGGCGTACATCGCGGGCATCGCACACCTGGCTGGCGTTTGCATTGGTTCTCGATGGTTGTCGATGGCGGCCCCTGCCTGTGCTGAGACTCGGGTAATACTGATGTCGTGGGAGGGCGGGAGGGAGTGAGCGGCACGGCTTGCTGCTTGGTTGATCTTGACCACTGTTCCCTATTATAAACACTCACTCCCCAAGGCGACCAGCAGGCAATAAAGACCAACACCAACACCCCAACATCCCTGTCAACAACCAATACGAAGCACACTTTAGGGCAAAATCTTGGGTCATGCTGGTGGGCCCTGCGAGCACTTTGTATTGTTTTTTGGCAGGGACGGCGAGGGGGGGCCATATTGCCTGCTTTGCGCAATTCCACCAGCCGTGTCCAAAAACAATAAAACATGCAATTTGCGGCTAAATCTGGATCATGCGTGGCCACCCCGCGATCATTGTCCATTGGTGTTCGACAAAGACCGCGGGTGTGCTGGCATATTGCCTGCTGTGCGCAGGCCCACCAGACACCATGATGGCCTCCCCGCCTCGATCGCGTACCGGTTTTCGACAAGGACGGTGGGGGCCGACATGTTTCCCGACGTGTGCTGTCACGTGCGCGGGCGCACCTGGCACACTCTGCGCGTGCCCGGGACGTGGCGCACCTGGCGCGGCTGGACAAAGGCGGCGCACGTGGCGCACGTGGAGCAGGTGGCGCATCTGTCGCGCGAGGCGTGCTTGGGTGCTTCTTATGTGTTAGGAGGGCGGGTGGGAGTGAGCGAGACGGCTTGCGGGCGCGAAGCGGCTCTGCGGGGGGGGGGCGCGAGGCGCTGGAGCATCCACGGTTGCACAAGGTAGCTCCAAGACGGTCTAAGATCGCCCAAAATGACCTCCAATATTGAACAAGATAGTGCAAGGTTGTTCAAGATGGTTTCTAAAATGCTGCAGTCGGCCTCAAGACCACACCAAGACGGCCGCATGTGGCCACGAAGCCTCCAAAGGACGCCCTCGAGAGGCCACAATCCTTCAAAAGCCGATGGGAGAGCCATGCTGATTGCCTTCTCGCCCGCTCGCTTCCGCTCAGCTTTTGAGACCGCAGGATGGCACCAAGATGGCGCAAGAGAGCCCCAAGAGGTGCCCAGGAAAACACAAGACGACCCCAAGAGCGCCCCAGGAGGTACCCGAGAGGCAGTGTTTCATCATGTGGGAGGGCGACTCACATTTCGCACCACCCCAACACGCACACGCACACGCACACGCACACGCACGCGCACACGCCCACGCACACACACACACACGCAAACGCACACGCACACGCACATTCACACGCACACGCACACGCACACGCACACGCGCACGCGCACGCGCACGCGCTCGCGGACGTGGACGCGCACACGCACGCACGCACGCACGCACGCACACACGCACACCCACAACACGCACAACACACACACAACAACAACAACAACAACAAGGTACAGGCCGGCATGGTCCCCCCGGGGTCCGGGGCTTCATTTCCCGCGTCCGCCACAGTGGAGGAGGCCGGTCCCGCCCCCCCGGTGAGTCGGAGGGGGGGGGGGGGAACAACACAACACAACACAACGAATTCTGTATGAATGCTGTATGAATTCTGTATGAATTCTGTATGAATCCTACACGCTCCCTACGGATTCCCATCGGAATCCGTTCGGGACCCTCTAGGAGTCTTTAGATCCCTCCAGGGCCTCTATAGAATCCCTGTGGATCCCTCCAGGGACTCTATAGAATCCCTGTGGATCCCTCCAGGGACTCTATAGAATCCCTGTGGATCCCTCCAGGGACTCTATAGAAACCCTGTGGATCCCTCCAGGGACTCAATAGAATCCCTGTGGGTCCCTCCAGGGACTCTATAGAATCCCTGTGGATCCCTCCAGTCCCTCCAGGGACTCTATAGAATCACTGTGGGTCCCTCCAGGGACTCTATAGAATCCCTGTGGATCCCTCCAGGGACTCTATAGAATCCCTGTGGATCCCTCCAGGGACTCTATAGAATCCTGAATCCAGGATGTGGATCCCTCCAGGGACTCATAGAATCCTGTGGATGTGACTCTATAGAATCCCTCCAGGGACTCTATAGAATCCCTGTGGATCCCTCCTAGGGACTCTATAGACTCCCTGTGGATCCCTCCAGGGACTCTATAGAATCCCTGTGGATCCCTCCAGGGACTCTATAGAATCCCTGTGGATCCCTCCAGGGACTCTATAGAATCCCTGTGGATCCCTCCAGGGACTCTATAGAATCCCTGTGGATCCCTCCAGGGACTCTATAGACTCCCTCCAGGGACTCTATAGACTCCCTCCAGGGACTCTATAGAATCCCTGCGCATCCCTCCAGGGACTCTATAGAATCCCTGTGGATCCCTCCAGGGACTCTATAGACTCCCTCCAGGGACTCTATATAGAATCCCTGTGGATCCCTCTAGGGACTCTATAGACTCCCTGTGGATCCCTCCAGGGACTCTATAGACTCCCCGTGGATCCCTCCAGGGACTCTATAGAATCCCTGTGGATCCCTCCAGGGACTCTATAGAATCCTTGTGGATCCCTCCCGGGACTCTATAGAATCCCTGTGGATCCCTCCAGGGACTCTATAGACTCCCTGTGGATCCCTACAGGGACCCTCTAGACTCCCTGTGGATCCCTACAGGGACCCTCTAGAATCCCTGTGGATCCCTACAGGGATCCTAAAGAATCCCTCTGGATCCCTACAAGGACCCTGCAGGGATCTGAAGGGATCCCTGTGGATCTCTACAAGCATCCTAGAGGATCCCTGTGGATCCCTACAAGCATCCTCCAGGATCCCTGTGGATCCCTACAAGCATCCTAGAGGATCCCTGTGGATCCCTACAAGTATCCTAGAGGATCCCTGTGGATCCCTGCAAGCATCCTAGAGGATCCCTGTGGATCCCTACAAGCATTCTAGAGGATCCCTGTGGATCCCTACAAGGATCCTAGAGGATCCCTGTGGATCCCTACAAGCATCCTAGAGGATCCCTGTGGATCCCTACAAGCATCCTAGAGGATCCCTGTGGATCCCTACAAGCATCCTAGAGGATCCCTGTGGATCCCTACAAGCATCCTAGAGGATCCCTGTGGATCCCTACAAGCATCCTAGAGGATCCCTGTGGATCCCTACAAGCATCCTAGAGGATCCCTGTGGATCCCTACAAGCATCCTAGAGGATCTGTATGGATCCCTACAAGAATCCTAGAGGATCTGTGTATGGATCCCTTCAAGAATCCTGGAGGACCCCAATGGATCCCTACAGGGATCCTGGAGGATCCCAATAGATCCCTACTGGGATCCTGGAGGATCCCTGTGGACCCCTACAGGGATCCTGGAGGATCCCAATGGATCCCTGCAGGGATCCAAAGGGATCCCTGTGGATCCCTACAGGGATCCTAAAGGATCCCTGTGGATCCCTACAGGGATCCTGGAGGATCCCTGTGGACCCCTACAGGGATCCTACGGAGGATCCCAATGGATCCCTACAAGCATCCTAGAGGATCCCTGTGGACCCCTACAGGGATCCTAGAGGATCCCTATGGACCCATACAGGGATCCCAGAGGATCCCTATGGATCCTTACAGGGATACGAGAGGATCCTTATGGATCCCTGCATCCTAGAGGATCCCCATGGATCCCTGCAGGGATACGAGAGAATCCCCATCGATCCCTACAGGGGCCCTATAGGATGCCTATGGGTCCCTACAACGGGCCTAGAGGATCCCTATGGATTCCTATAGGGATC